CGTTCCGAAACTGAGATCGTATCATGAAAATGTCGTAAGGTGGATCATCTTTTCCCATACGATTACATGTAAAACCAAATAATTCGTTCCAACGCGAAAAACATACTCAAATTAAAGCCAAGTAATACATTTAAAAAAAATAACTGTAATAAGAAAAACAAATGAAAAATGCTAACTAATGTAACGTCGTATGGTGAGTTTTTGTTCGTATCGTGGAGCAAAAATATGTTCGAATTTCATGTCGTATCCTGAAAATTTCGTATGCTGGGGCGTTTGTAACCTGAGGTACCACTGTATTTCTACTCGCAGTGAAAAAATTTGTTGCCGCCTTCACTCTTTCGGGTCTTTCTAAAGCTTCGTTGAATAGTGTATCTGTAAGCCATTTTCACTTTCGTGTAGCGATTTCACATGTTCAACTCAACATGAGTAGCAACTCACAAGGGGAGATGGGAAAGCATGTGAGTTATAACTAAAGACTACCAATTTGATGTCAGAGTGAGATGGTACCATGTGACACCTTCAACACATTGGGAGTTGTAACATGAAAAACTCAAGTCTAAGGACCCAGGATGGGGCATCGGCCCACACAGCATTAGCTATAGTATCAATTGACATTATTTGTCATCTCTTCCCTGGTTGCCTCATTTCCAGGTTTGGTGACATTCATTGGCCTTATTGTTTGCCCGACCTATCCATGTGCAATTATTTCTTGTGGGGACACCTCAAGGCATGTGTATATGAGCATAAGCCCATTCTTTGCAAGAACTGAAGGAAGCTATTTGCGTGGAATTCACCATAATGCATCACTGATAACAGACACCACATGGGAGATGTTGTTTTCCACACTTGATTCTGTAAAATGCTGTTTCAAACTCACATCTTCCAACAAATATCTTTCATAGTAATAATTACAGATATTGCGATTTTTTAAAAAAACGTCTGTTTTTTCTGCCCTACCCTCTATAATCTTTTCAAAGCACCATATAATGTTTTACTGCTTTCAAACTACACCATCCATTTATAAACATTTTTCCACTATTAAACAAAAATATTCCTATACTTTTTATTTTTACAAATATCCTAAAACAATAGAATCCCAATTATCTAAACCTTGATTAATTGAGGTTCTGCATTATCTGAGGCAAACCTATAAGTGAATACACTACTTTTCCTACAATTCAGAAAGCTTTGCCATGAATGTACTAAGTGCTTTAGCACTTTTAGTCTCAACTATGCTAAGTATGTATGTGGCTGATGCATAACATTGTGACAAATCAGAAAGGGACTCATATAAAATAAAATAATAAAACAAACAAAAAAAAAACTCAAGACTTTTTAAAAAAGTTTAAAATAATAACAGAATATGTCTTACAAAATTATTTGTTTACCTTTTTATCATTTAACTTTGCTTAATGATGGTTAATTAATGGTTTATTTCACAAATGATTTGTAATAAAATGTAACTACAATAATATACTAATTTTATATTTAAAACTATTTTACAGTACATATTAGTTGTAAAATAAATTATGTAAAAAATGTTGTTCTTACATAACATTAAATTTATTCAGGTAAAAAAAGAGACAGGAAAGATTTATATGTTATTACTTTTAAATTTGTAATTACTTTCCCAGCTGTTATATATAACAAAGGGAAAGTATGGTAATCAGTCAAAAAATGACCCCCAAGATTTTCACATATTGGACTCAGGACCTTGAAATGTTGAGAAATGCAAAAAATTGGGGTTTTTTTCCCTGTATGAATGGATGTTAGTGTATGGGGGCATGATTTTGTTCACCCTCTTTGGAGCTTAACTCCTGTACTTTTTGTCAAAAATTTCTGAAATTTTGCAGGGAGGTTTGTTTATTAGGGAGATTGATACTATTAAATTTTGATGATTAAAGATTGAAGGGGTGGGGAGATAAAGGGGGTTGTGTGTATCACCAGTAGGATCTGACTTAATGATGACTTTACTTGTTATTAGCATTTACAATTTTTTAAAACCTGTCTCTACCCACAAAATTAAGTTTTTTGACATTTCATAATAGTTAAAAACATAGATATTTTATTGAAAAAACTTTTTAACAGATGGTGCCACCAAATGTTGCTGGAAAAGTTAAGCAACTCATTGCTGGGCTTTTTTTTTAATTTGAAAGGGATGTGATCATCCATTTTTATCTTATTTTTATACTATCATAGATGGTATCAGTCTACATAATAATAAAGGTATCCCTTGCTTAACATGTAAAATTAACTGCAGTCCCTTTATATAAGCAGCAGAAATTTTAATTTAAGCGGCTTTACTAGCTGTCTTTAATCGAAATACGGCATCTATGTTAAGTAATGCAATTTTGATATCTGCAATAGGATCGAGGGATTAATTAACCATGTTAATCAAGGGATACCTGTACTGCATTAATGGACCTCTTCAGCATATAAAAAGTTGTGTGTGGTCAAACAAGATAGTTAAGGGTTTCTTGTATTTCTGAATATGTGAGGATAATAAACACGCAGACTTCAGAAATAAAATTACTACATTATTGATTTAATTTTAAAATACGTTTTCCTAATATTTATGACTGTACTGTACCAAAACACTAAGGATATTTTAATACAGTATGTAATTTTTAAATAATTTATATATATTTGAAACAGAAGAAAGTCAGAAATACAGTAAAAGAAAAAGAAACAATAGAAATAAATACTCATACATGGTCACTAACACAAACAAAAGTATAACTTACAATTTTTGTTTGTTAAAAGAAGTAAGTTATATAATTCAAAACTTTATATATAAAGTCAGGGTGTACCTCTTAAATGTCCTTAGTTTTAAACTGTTCTGTATAAGCCATTTGTACAGATATGTGAATAAAAGGTGTTGGAAAATGTTGGTCAATACTCCAAGTTTTATATGCATTTGCTTGAAAAGATCACTGCTGCTGCACAGTGACAATCTGGACCTTCACTGCTGCACAGTCTAAATCACTGGAACCTATTTTTTTGGTCTACCCAATCACCTGATATCATCTCTTTGTGGCATGTCAAAGACCATGTGTATGCTACAAAAGTGCCAGACAGAAGAGTCCCATGTACAAGAACTGTGGATGCCATTAACAGCATAACTCCTATGTTGGCTTGGATGTGGGCCAGAATAAAGTAAAAACCAGATATCATACTTGCTACATCAGGAGTATATATGGATATGTACTGATTTAATGTAGTAACTAACTTTTTTTAGATGCACTTTCTATTATCATTTTCTACAGTATTATACTCATATTTCTTTTCCCAAAATTGATTCACAAAACTAGGCCATTTGAGGGAACACACTGTATTTATATTCATAATAAATAAACAAATTACCTTGGAATGCAATTTCTGGAGAATACGTGATAACAGCAATGGAAATCTGGCATCATTTAAATTATTTATTAACTGAACAGCCTCAGTTAATCTGAAAAATAGAGAATATTTATTTTAAAATTATACTTGACAATTATGTACGTGATATATTTTTATTACTACAATGTGAAATATTTTAAATTACAGATTTTATCATTTTTCTCACTTGTTTAAGTGAATTTTTTGGTTTAAACTTTCCATTAAAATTTAATTAATAGATTGATCCAACTGAATATTCAATTTATGATATTACCAGAAGAATATTAAGTTATTTCTCAGTTTTGTGTTCGTTAGTTTCTAAAATTTTAAATAAAATGTTGAAATTCAAAAATTTTATTAATGTAAATAAATTTCAAGTATTTCTTGCTGAATTTCTTATGTCGCTTGCTCAATTTCTTTTCAAAAAAGAGATTCATCCAATACGAATAAATAAACTGACAACTGCTACTTAACACTGGTTATTATTAAATAAAAAAGAACACTACAAAATCCTAAGATACCTATGTATCTTAGGTTTTTGTAGTGTTCTAGAATAAATAACTGTTAAAGATGTGATAAAATTTCTTCTTCCACCACAAAAGATCCAATATCAAATCTAGTCTTAAGTTCATGATTTTTATAAGCAATTCAACCCGAGATTCTGACATCTATTTATCATTTGTGCTAGCGATCACCCAGAGATACGATCAAAAACAAGGAAGAAAAGGCTAAAGTGCAGCCCATACCTTCCAATATAAAGTCACTACAAAAGAAGAAAAACAAAGATTCAACAGCTCTCCGTAAATCAAGTTTTTGTGGTTTTTCACCTTCCAGAGAGCTAAGTTAAATCTAACATGCAACACGCCAAACCTGTTAGATTTACACTTTAGGTAGAATTACGGGATCTAGTACCATTACCATATTATTAAAGGCGATTGCCAGTTTTTTCCACAAGATAACAGTCAACAGTCAATGTTACTTCAAAATGCAACCAAACCACAAAATCTTTAAGTTATATTTTCAGATTATTCTTGTATGTATGTTCCAGATACATCAGGCATCATCCTTATCCTATTATCTCTAGATTATAATGACTATGTTAAAAGAGCCACAGAGCTCAATGTGTTGAAAGCCTAAGATTCTATCCCATCCAAAATCATTTAAATTAATAAAAGTAAATGAAATTTGTAATTATTAACATTAAATAACATGTCAGCTCCTCCCATCTCAAAGGTTCTTTCTGATAATGACGATGCAAAGGAAACTTCCTCGTCATTGAAGTGAATACGGAATTTTTTAAAACTTTATATGAAGGAGAGAGATTAACTCAATTATTTAATAAAATCTGATGAAAATATTAGATTTTAATGGGGAAAAAATACGCATTTCGTTCAAATGTTTAATATTAAGAGAAATATACAATAATAATTTCATATATATAATTATACAATTAAGTTTAATCGTAATATTTATAATTAATTTAGAGACTCGTGTAATATACATCACTCACTTTTTTGTTTTGGTAAACATGTCTGTTACCATCTTTGATTAGTAAGTGTTGCCAATTTTAAACACCACGCGCCGCCTAGTGTTTAAATGCAGCGGCCGATGCGTTGATGTAAGTTCCAACGCCACCACGTGTTGACGTGGGGTATCGGTTCGAAGCCAGAAGATCGGCGCGAGCGAGAGGACTTTCAGCAAGCCCATTATGGCCAGACCCATAATGGGGGTGAGGGACGGAGCCTAACATATCCGAACGGACCATCCCCCGAAAAATTCCTGGGGATTTTCCGACCCGTCCTCCAGAGTGGTAGGCTGCTACCTTGAACGCTCGGCCATCCAGCCGTCCTGATGAAGTCTCTGTAGATGAAGATTGAATGTTGATAGTGATTGTGATGACGGATGTTTGAAGACGTTTTGTGCCTTCTGTATTTTTATATTTTATGAAAAAAAACATGCGATATGCTTCTTGTCTAGTCTTGTGTACAAATATACAAGCGCTAAGACGGCTTTTCTTTTTCACTAGACTTATTACACCATCAATGAAACGGAAAACAAACTTTAGAAAGACTTTTTATTTATTTGAGAATGCATTTCGGATAATTATGTCCCTTTTCAACTCTTGTGTTACAAATGGACTATGAGAAAAAAACATGTTATTTATTTTTTAAGCGTTCTGGACATTATGAATTAGCGCGCATGCTATGTAATAGAATTAAGTAAATTCTCAAAGCCATTTCTATCCCAATTTCATATCACCAAGAACTTAACAGTAAAACTGAAAAAATTAATTTTTTGCATTTACAAATTTCTACAGAATTTTTGACGATCTGTATATAGACATTACGATTAGAAGCCAGTGAATTATCCAACCCAATTATCCCCGTGCAATTAGCTCCGTAGATAGTGCTGCCAGTGAGATAATAACCACACTGGCAGCACTGTCCGTGGAACTAATTGCAAAACAGCACGTGCCTTACTTTTGATTTGAGAGTCAAAATGAGTGTAATAAACTTCTTAATTTTTTAAATATAAATGTATACAGTAAAACCTGTCTATGGCGACCCACCCACGGTTCCTTCAAAAAGTGGTCTTTTAGACAGGTGGTCCTGTAATAACATATTTCCGTACGTATCCTGCGTACTTTTTAGCCATTTCTACTAAGCAAAACTGAAGATGAGCAAAAATAAGCGAATTTTTTCAATGATAGGGCTATATTGGTATTGTATTTTATTCTTATCGGATACTGTAACTCGATTTACAGGAGTCGTCGTGATTTTATAAGACAGATTTAAAGCAATACAGTAGAGCGTCGATTTTCCGAAAGTCAATCATCCGAAAGAATTCCAGTCGGCAAATTTGAATTTTCGCCAGTGCTGTGGCACTTCAATCTTTGGCTATGTCTTGGGCTACTCAAATATTTTACGTTTTTGATACTAAATTAACATCGGAAGTATAATTTTTTTTATTATTTTTATATTTTTCAATATATTTATTTTGTTTGTACAAAATAAAAAATAATTTTTAACGATACAATAGTCTTTGTTAGGCTTAACATCGACGAAAATTCAACGCGAAGCGACACGCAACGGAGAAAAATTTCGAAATCGGATACGTTAAACTATTTTTTCGTATGTAAATCAGTTATCCGGACAATTCCAGTCCCCAATTGATTCGGAAAATCGACGCTTTACTGTACTTTAATTTAAAGATTAATACAATAGTCGCATTTTCTCGATTATAATGCACACTTTCTTTTTTCCGACTTAATTAATTCGACTCGGTTTTTTTCATTTGCTCTTCAGTTACGTGTATTACGCCATCGATATACAAGCGCGTCGTATCTCTACATCACTTTGGTTTTGGTATTCGTTAGTTTAATCTTATTTTAACTTCAAAAGATCAGCGGTGTACAGTACATTTAAGTGCGACCCTACTGCAGATAGAGGCGGTATCTCCAGTAGTGTGGCACTTAATGACGATTTTACTCGTTATTTGCATTTACAATTTGTTTTTATAAAACCCTCAAAACAGTCTTTTGCCATTTTATAATAGTTTTAAAAATATAGAAAGTTTTTAATAATAAAATATAACAGATGGCGCCGCACACGTAGTTTTAAATCCGGGGAAAGTTATGCAACTCGTTGCTGGATTTTTTCCAATAGTGAGATTAGTGATCTTTATCACGTCTTCCTTAATTATCCACAATAAACAGAAATCAAGATTAAAATAATTCACTTTACTCGCCTATTTAACTATACATTTCGTATAAAAATGCATAGTTTGGTTGAGAATACGGATTTGAAGCACGTATAGTTTAGGAAATTCTGCATTGTCATACAATTATATTTGCACTCGGGACAAACATTTCCCGTCCGTATCTCTTCGAAACATGTTGAATTTGCACTTCGAAATTAGCCGTGTAATTTTTGCAGCCAGACATACAAATAAGAGGAAAAAACCGACTTCCTCCGTCGAAAAGGATTTAAACCACCGACCCATGAATATCTATGGCTACAACAGTCGACCGCTCTACCAGCTGAACTATCGACGAATTGAATTTAAAATCTGCAAATTTAGCTGAAGTGTTTTGCTTCGGCAAAGTCGTCTTCCTGCAGTTGCAGAAATAATCTGCGATTTCAGCAGGTTCGCAGAGAAATGCTAGAATTAGCCAATGAGGTTGAGAGCTCACCGCCCAAGTCGAAATGAACCCTTTGCAAGCGCCAACAACCCGATCACTAGCCATGCTATTTGCAACAGCAAATATTCTCAATGCAGTGGTTGGTGCCAACCGTTGTGGATACGTTAAAGAAAATGCACGAATCGAAAGATACGGATTCGCCTAATGACAACGTGGTTAATCCGTTCTGTTATACCAGCGTTTCTCAACCTCTAACGAATCGTCGCCCCCTTCAATAAAACCGTTACGTAGTATCGCCTCCCTTCACTCCAAAATTCCGATGCCGAGGGTCAAGTCTAATGCCAAATTCATACTGCATTGAATAGACTAGTCACTAGTATAATGTTATTTGTTTGATTATTGTACGATATAACGAATAAATATCTAATTATTCTTAATATAATGTTTTACTATATCGCCCAGAAAATTGTTTTTCGCCCCCAAAATATAAATTGTTACTAATCGCTCCCTCAACACGGAAAAACGCCCACATGGGGGGCGATATCGCCCCCGTTGAGAAACACTGTGTTATACCATATCAGTTCGAATCCTACCCTCGTCGCGATTCTGACTTTCGGTTGCGTTTTTTTTCTCCTCCTTCGTTTAGTACTTGGCTGCTTCTAATACACGCGAAGAAATATCGTTGTGATATTTCTCTTAAGCGTTTAATCTTTTTCTTACTTAACCATAGTCAACTTTACGAAATTTTTTGTATAAAGTTTTTTGAAAACTGAATATTTTTCAAATTTATTTTAATTCACGAAATTAATTAAACATTAAAAATGTATATTATAAATGTATACACATGGCTAAACTTAATTTCAAAATTTATTAATATACTGTATAAATTTTAATAATATTGACATGAATATTTAAAAATTTGCTGTAAGTTTTGAGATATTCTTTCACACTTTTCTAGCGAACCAAAACGTTTAAAGCAAAATTAATTTTAATTATTCATTGATGTTAGCTGCAATATTCTTCTGTGGATCTATAGTAACTTGTAAAGACAGAGAGCATAATAAGCATATTTTAGTAAACATATTGTAGTTTGTATATATTAAAAACTTGAGTTATTTGAAATTTCTATCCTATATCATTCTGAAAAACAGAATGATGTCGAAATTGATGATGCAGTTATACTTGGAGATAAGCTTATATAAATCTACATATCAGTATATAAACAATTTTTTATGTCGAAAAATTATTATAAATTGAACTGTTTTAGCAAAATTTGAGATAAACGTGACTCTTCAAATGCATCGCGTAATAATAAATGAAACAATATTACAATTCTTATTATCATCATTGTAAAACAAAAGTAAAAGCTTTTTTTATGCTAAGGGATTCACTATTTTAATATTCTGTAGTTGTGAAATTTGAAGGTTTTTACTGATAATAAAATATCCGTTTTACTATTTTGAATTATTGGCATACACTGAATCTAAAATATGGCGAAATTTCAGAATCCAAGATGGGAAAGTGTGCCTGCTTGCCTTGTATGGCCGGATATAGATTACGAAGAAAGTTTACAGAGATCCCATCAGAAACAAACAAACGAGACTGGAGAAACAGCAGTGGAGAGGTTGAGAGTTCGGGCCATAAATCCTCATAATTCACTTAAGGTAGCATACACCGTAAACAGAAACGGAGATAAGATGATTACTAGAGAAGAAATGAAAAGAGTAGCGAATTTTTCGATGCCTTATCCTGCTAAACTATCAGCCAAAGATTATGAAGAATTATTACTCATCTTAGATCCACTTCATACGAATTTAATTAAACTAGAAGACTTTTTAAATCTGTTTAAACCTGAATCTGTTTGCGACTTGGGAAACTCGATTAAAAAAGTTAGTACGAGTAGCTTACAAAGACATGAACCTCTCACTCTGTTGAAACTTGATGAAAAAATAAGATATAACATCAAAACTCAAACAGAGAAGTTATTGAAAGCTTTTACTTTTTATGATTTCGAAAATACTGGTATGGTTTCGAAACAACACGTCAAATGTCTGCTTCAGAAACATTGTATGCCACTTTCCGATAAGCAGTTCGAAGGGCTGTGGAAAATGTTTCCAGTTGAGAATGGTGCATTGAATTACATACGATTTCTAGAAGATTTTGGAGATTGTACACCCAACGACACAATGAGTAATTACAGAATAAAAACAATTTCACGAACATTGGTCCGTTCATCTTCTAAGTCAAAATACGAACCTTCAATTAAAAAATTGAGAAATGCATCTGAATGCCATTGCGAAATTGAAGGAAAGCAATTTAATGATATCAAGATAATATTGAGAAACTGCATTGAAAAAAATTGGCATGATATAATTCGGAAATGTAAAGAAGCAGATCCACGGCAATCGGGTCGCATTGCATCAGAATCTATGAAGGAGGTGCTAAATCAGTGCGGAATTCCA